AACTTTTTACGCGCTGCAAAACGAACTCTATAAACTTGATCGGCGAGGAGCAAAAACCGTGTAAAAATTTATCGACTCGTCCAACGAATTTTTGCGACGCTTTTCGCGATCGCGCCTGAAAAGTCGCGAAAATGTGGAGGTATCGATATCTACGAGTGAAATATTCGCGACGCGAATGCACGCGAGGAAAGATTAGACCCGATCAGAAACCGATCGTCCCGAGGGAGCGCAAAGAGAGAAAGCGGAGCAAAGTTTTCACGCATGATAGCTCCGTCACGAAGAAACCTTACGTTCGCGATACTTTGGCGAAATGAGAATTTAAGCCTTCTTTATTAGCAGCGCAAGTAAAAACGCGTATCTTGATAACCGCGGTCGCGATAAAAGTTCAAAGGCACGTGAGCGAGGATACCTCAAGCTCGGCGTGCGCTGGCGCAATTTCTGCGCGCATTTTATACGCTACTCGAGACAATAGGGATCGTGATGAATGGACAATATTGCCAAATAATTCTACAGCCTGTTTTGGAAATAAAAGAAAAGTAGCCAACGATATCGGGCATTTATGCATATGAATATATTTTATGCGGACAATTGAATATTGTCAAATAATTGTTAAATAATTCTGCGACCCGCTTGAAAAATGAAAATAAAGCAGCTGATGACGGTATCGCGATTGTAGATATGAATATCTCTTAATCAGATGAACATCAATAGAGACTTATTCGGTATTTTAAATCTCGTATGCAGGCTATCGATCAAGTAATTCCCTGATTGTTTCGGGTAATGTATTTTAGTCAACGTCACAAACACACACATGCAAAATCTATTTGCAATTCGCATTGACTCGAACGATATTTTATCTAGTTCCACATCCTTCATGCGGAATTTTGTTTCTCTTTACATTTTGTATTTACTCACCGAAACGACTTGCAGTCAGAGCCGGCCACGTTCCGCTTCAACTCTGTAACAAAAAATTCACATTCGCTCATCAGATCAGACTAACGAGTGCGGGCGAGTAAAAGAGTAGTTTACCCTCTGCGATCGTAATTCAAGTCGAGCTGGAAATTATATTTAGCCAGCTTTAAATCGCCAAGGGTCAAACAGAGGACTATAGTAAACTTGTAAACTTACCTTCAAGCCGACTCTGCTTGGCCCGAATCGGATCCTCCGATGCAGCATCTGCGTCTGCCGGATTGCTGTTGCTTTCCGCAACAACTGAAACAGAAAAATAATTTTCCCGGTTGATAACCTGCGGTAGAGAGAAAGGGAGAGAGCATATCTTTGATCGGGATGAATCGAAAATACGGAAATATTTTGATACGCAATTTTTATCTTTATATTTTTGCTCCAATATTGAAAATTTAAATGAGACTTAAAGCTTTTAAGAAATGATGAAGAACAAGTTGCAAAGGCAAAGATCGTAAAGGGTTGAACACAGATGTGTAGGTAGGAAACTTGTAAACCTTTACCTTCCGACCGACTCTGCTTGGCCCGAACCGGATCCTCCGGTGCAGCATCCGCGTCCGCCGAATTGCTGTTGCTTTCCGCAACAACTGAAACAGAAGAGTAGTTTTCCCAGTTGATAATCTGCAGTAGAGAGAGAGAGAAAGAGAGAGAGAGAGAGAGAGAGAGAGAGAGAGAGAGAGAGAGAGAGAATATCTTTGATCAAGACGAATCGAAAATATGGAAATATTTTCATATGGGATTTTTATCTTTATATTTTTGTTCCAACATTAAAAATTTAAATGAGACACGAAAGCTTTCAAGAGAGCTGATGAGGAATAAGTTGCAAAGGCAAAGATTGTAGAGGGTTGAACACAGATGTGTAGGAAACTTGTAAACTTTACCTTCCGGCCGACCCTGCTTGGCCCGAACCGGATCCTCCGGTGCAGCATCCTCCTCCGCCGGATTGCTGCTGCTTTCCGCAACAACTGAAACAGAAAAATAGTTTTTCCAGTTAATAATCTGCAGTAGAGAGAGAATATCTTTGATCGAGACGAATCGAAAATACAGAAATATTTTGATATAGAATTTTTATCTTTATATTTTTGTTGCAACATTAAAAATTTAAATGAGACATGAAAGCTTTCAAAAGAGCTGATGAGGAACAAGTTGCAAAGGCAAAGATTGTAGAGGGTTGAAAACAGATGTGTAGGAAACTTGTAAACTTTACCTTCCGGCCGACCCTGCTCCGCCCGAACCGGATCCTCCGGTGCGGCATCAGCGCGTCCGCCGAACTTGCTTCCCTCAACGTCTGGAACAAAAATTTTGCGTTCCTGGTTAGTAAGCTGCGGTAGAGAAAGAATGTTTGGTCGGGATGAGTGGAGAATATTCGCTACGGTTTTTTTTTCTTTATTGACACTGAAAGTCTAGATAGAACTTGGAGCTCTTGAAAGAGCTGACGAAAAAAAATAACAACAAGAAGCGGAGACAACAGTTGTGTGCTCTCGAAAATACTCTTTTACGAATGGACATTTAAATTTAGATCCCGTAACGAGAGTAAACAGACTTGAAAGAAGTGCTGACCGAAAACAAAAAAGGTCGCAGTTTAGGAAGCGGTATGACGTTGAATATTCTACACAAGACCGGTATACTTATACAGTTGGGAATTATTCAGAATGTTTGATTAAGAACATGATGAATTAGAGATCCGCGTTCATGGACCGTTATCCGTCTCTGTCCGGATCAATATCTTTTGTTTACAACAACGTAATAAATAGATAGACAGAGATTGACGAGAGTAATTGCAAATTCATAAAGTGTCTATGATAACTAGTCGGATGATGACGGATCGTGAATGCCGAGCGCGAAATTCCGACTTCCTATTCCCGGAAAATTTGTCAAACGTCCGCTCTCGTTATCGGAGACCTCCCGCATAATAAATGATTCCACATACCTGAAAACGTGACTGGTATCGCTGCCGGCGTCCTGCTTCCCGGCTGCTGGAGTCCTCCGGATTTCACTCGCTCACACTTCTAATGTCGATACTCGCGATTCGACCGTGCGGTTAATCAACGCGGTGCCGATTGAGTATCTCGAGGACCGACGAGATACATTTCTTTCAATTACACGAAACGGAAGTGACGAGCGCGTCGCGCACGGCTGCTGCTGATGGAATGAAGTCGAGGCGCGCGAGTGTTAATATGAAGTGCAAAAAGTGTCGTCGCTCGCGAGCCGATCAACACAATCGGCCCGCGATGTAAACATTGCTGGCCTCGACGGCGGTTAAAGTGAGAGAGACTTGCCCTTGGGCGTCTCTTCTTTTCTCGAAGGTTCCGGAACGACGAGGGAAATGCGAGGAGGCCTTTCAACTGTACGCGACATTGATTTACTCTATTTATTGATTACTGAAAATAAAGAAAATTACTCTGTCGAAGCATCGGACATTTGTTAGCTTTATGTTAATTAAAGAGGAATGTGTACGGTTAGAAAATGTGTTGGCAACTAATTGTACAGAGTGTCAAAGTTGTTGTGACGCCGTTTTTCGAGAATAATTAAAGGTCATGGTAACGTTAAAGAGTGAAATTTCATCCCATATGAATTTTGTCTCGTTCTTATTAAATGTCAGATTATCCGCTCCGGACAATAACTCTTCTACCTTTCATCTAATATTCAATGATGATAAATAACATTTAATTGCATTCGTTTGGCTTTTTTTATTTCGAAAATAAAAAAATATATACCAGGATGAGATTTCACCCATGACAACATCAATGTGATTTTCTTGCTGTTTTTAAAAGTTCAGATATTTCGTCGACTCGCGAGATATTTATAATCGGAGTCTCGTCGCGTTAATTAACACGTGCTCCTCCGAGCGGATCGAATGCTCACCGACGGCCACTGTCAGTGCCACGAGCGAATGTCCGGAGCGGACGGGATGCTGAATGCGAGAAGCAGGACGAAGGGAACGGGACGCGGGAAACGATACATCATGCGTCTCCAGACGTGTCGAATCGTTTATTATACAGGAGACTTTGATACGGCAACATTCGAAGATTTAATATTTAATACGTACTTTTATTTTTCCACTCCTCCCCCCTCCTGCCGCTCTTTATAGACTTACGAAAGTGGATGTAGCACGGACTTCCACCACATGCAGATTTTACCACCGAGACCTGAAAGTGGATGTAGCATCGTAGTTCCCCTCTCTCGAAATGGATGCAGATGGCGTTCGCCGCTTTCCGGAAAGTGCGGAAAGTCGGTGTCGCCGAAAACGCCGTGTTGGCTGCTCTCAGGTTCCTCTCTGGTTTCAACGGCCAGGTGTCGGTGGGAGTATCGCGAACTTGCGAGAAAGCCGAAAGGCGTTCATCGGCGAGCACCGGCCCGACAGCTGAATTTCCGTACAACAACACGGAAGAATAGCTATATATATAATATATATAAAAAATAAATATATGTACAAAAATAAAAATAAATCTGTCGCGTTTGCTTTCTATTCATTCCATTTCTTTCCATATGTATACTTTCACTGTTTTTCATAATGAGCTTCTCAGTTGAATCATGATTGTAATTATAATGTCATACATGAATCAATTAAAAATGATTTTGAAAAAGTTCGATCCAACAGATCCAAAATTTTACCCCGAATAATAAACCCCAGAGAGAAATGTTAGATTGATTAACTCTAAATTCAAATTCAAATCCTTAACATGTGAAAGAAATTTCTAATAGCTAATAGTGTCGGTTTAGCGTCGGATTGCAAGATGTCTCTGGACGTATAAGAGTCTTACTGCACCTTGGAATCTTATTATACAGATATATACCTAAACATTAACATCGCGATACAATCTCTCCGTCACACTCGAGAGGCGTGTCCTCTCGTTTATTACAATAGCTAGTTGCACGGTCGAGCTGTTTTATGCTCGCAGCCTAGCCGAACGTCGCCGTCGTCGTCGTCGTCGTCGTCGTCTCTCTTTCTCTTGTAAGTAAACGAGAAACGTCTCCTGACACCGTCGCGCATCACGCGTTGAAATACATCGCGCGCGATAACGCGCGTCAGGTGTCAGTCGAGCGTCGGTTGTCGTCACGCGCGTATCGTCGTACAGGGAGAAGCGCACACATCGTCGCCGGCTGACTTCTTCCGCGAAAGAATCACGAGCGACGGCGCACGCGGAGCGTACCGGCGTAAGGAAACGCGTTCACTTGGACGTAACGTCTCAGGTAAGGAATTACGCAATCTTGTTTGCGCGCGTGTTCTGCGTTTATCTCGCAGAAACCGTTAGGAACGCCGTTCCGCCGCGCCGGGTGTCCGCGAATTCGATGCTTCCGATGTACGACAATGCCGAGCAACTTCGTTCCGCTGACGATGCGTTTCTTCGAGCAGCCGATTCTCGTGGCGGATCTCGAGAAAACTGAAAGAGAGATCTGGGAAAACTTGAAACGTACGCGAAAGAGCTCCACATGTGTGTGCATGTACATATTTGTGTATGCGTGCATTTGCACGCTTCGTTTCGCGAATTGCGAGCGAAGGCAGCCGCGAGTCGGTGTGTCGAGCGAGCAAGAGAGGTTACGGGGCGAAATTCAAAAATTTCGGGAACCTACGCATGCGCGCCGCGCGACCTCGTGTACGCGACCATTTCGCGAGTATGGTCTTTTACGTAGCGCTTCGCGCTTGTAACGTACACGGAGGTGTTCCGTGCGCGTTTCTCGTCTGCAGCGGCCGGTTTCGTCGATGTTTCAGACTCGCGTATCGGAGTATCCTTCATCACAACACTCGCGGCGAGACATGACGGAGACAACATTGACGGACTACGAGGAAGGCGTATGCTTCGACGCGGACGATCCGGACTTCGCGCCCCCGATCATTACGTTGGACAATGTCATCACGGCTCAATGTTTGGTCAGCAACAATGTCGTTGACGGTGAGCACATCTTGAGATCTTTGATCGTCCGCGCGTATAATCTCGGCAACGTCCTAGTTCGCGCCCGTCGGCCTGTCGCCGACGCACGCTGATGATACGCTTTAACGCTCGGCGACGCATGTGTTTACGGCTGAAGATCGTGGTAATCCTAGCTGCAGGCTTCAAGTAAATCACGCTCATCTGCTCAGGCTTTGTTTCTCGTCGCGACAGATCGCTCGCGAAACAATTCGAGAATCGTCACCGTAAACGCCGCGTATTACATCGAAGTAAATATTTGAAGTATATATATATATATATATAGACATGCACCTGTCCAATATCTAATCTTAATCTCCAATATACGTAGCTATATATTTGAGCTATTTACTTTCGACTTTGAGCACAAACTACAGAGACTACAGAGGGAAATCGTGTCGATCTGAGTGTGTGATCTATTTCGTGGTTACTTTTCAGCGGTTCCTCAACGAGACGACATTCTGAATTGAGCATTAGATAAAATTACTGCAAGATTCTGCGATAAGTAAATTGATGAAAATGGGATTGAAATTGAGCAGTTGAGAAATCGAAATCGTCATAGGCGAAATTTTCCGGCACAAGAAATCAAGAGTGTGCTATTGAAATTCCTCGGGAAATTTTTCCCCTCTTCTCCCTATTCTTCCCTCTCGTTTCCGACTGGATTAGAAAGCGGAGCATTAACGGGCAACGTAATATCTTTATTACTTCCACGACGTGATCGATTGTGTATCTCGCTTTACAGCGAGAAGATCACCCATCTAATCATTCGTCATTAGAAGATGTACAAAGAAGATGTTACACTCAGCTGACAAAGACTAAAAGATGCAACTATTATTTTAATAGATAACTGAAGATAGAGAGTAATATAGATAGAATGAACGAAACGTGAGTAACCGAAGTATCCTCGGACTAGTTCCTGATCCCGAGGAGAGCGACGAGAATGTCAACTCCGTGGAAGAAACCTTTTTAGTCCGGTTTGTCTAATTTTCAACGTAGGAGCAACCCTCCCTCTGCCCCTCGCCGGCTCACTATCTCTCTAATTCTTTCTCGCGACGTCACGAACATATATGAAACATTTATACCAGCGCTTCTGACTGTGCGTTCACTCACACGAAGCAACGCGCACGTATTGTACACGCATACACGCACATGCGGCCACGCGCCATACCGTTTCGGGCACGCGTGAACGATGCGTGCGATATCACGTTCAGCTTGACGCGTGTAAATTCTGATACGACGTAGAATTCCGCGCTCGTTCCCACGAGCCGAGAATAATGACGGGAACAATCGGCGTATGATTATACACAAATTGCACGCGCAATTCTTTATTATTCGATTCGATCTTCGATCGACCGCGATGCATAAATTGGCGGCGGCACGGCAGAAGTGTTAAATTTGCAAAGCGGAATCTTTACATAACGCTACTGCGAATCGGAATTTTTCCTCGCACTGCTTTGCCGTAGATTTTTGCTTCGGATAGCACCGCGATGGTATCGCGGTCTCAATTATCCTCGATGTCGAAGTTTCTTCATTAGGCACGACACACGGCCCGACGCGAGAATTTTGAAAAAAGAACACGCAAGTGCAGTTGAAAGTAGATAAGGGCGTATTTAAGAGGCGCGTTTGCGACGTCGATTTTTAGAATCCGACGTTCCCCGGGTGTTCTGCCGGGAGAGGGAACGCATCTCGTGTTCTCTTTTCTTTTCGGCGTGTGATAAAATAAACATTGAGAAGCGTGATTCGGCGGAACCTCCCGTGACAGATTCGGCTATCTCCGTGAGAGATAAATTGACGAAGGAAGTCGGGAGAAATTCGTTTGTGTGGAATCGAATATCCGACGTGAATATTGAATCGTTCATCGAAGCGGTTTAAGTATTTCTCTTTTTCTATGCAATCCAGAGCGCGCTGGATGTCTGAAATGAGAGAACATAATTTCTAGGAAATTTTCAGAAAAAAGCTCTCTCAACGGATCATCGGCTGCGTCCCGAAATACACATCCGAAAGTTCCGTCTTGAAAGAAATTTCGCAGAGTACAAAATCGCAGAGATCCTTCGATCTCCATCGAGAACAGTCGTAAGTCTTCCGCGACGCGTTAAATATTCATTGCGTTCGTCCGAGGAATTAGAACAGACGAGAAAAAGAGCGGAGATAATCAAATATCTTCGGGCTATTATTAAGTTCGGCTGGGGAAACGATCGCGAATTTGATCTCGCGGAGTCCGTTTACGTCGATGCATGTTAATTCGTATACGGTTCCTTCTCTTTGTACTTTTCTCTTCTCTTTTTCGCGATACTCCCTTCTTCTCTCTCTCTCTTTCTCTCTCTCTCTCTCTCTCTCTCTCTCTCTCTCTCTCTCTCTCTGTCTCGCACGAGCATATAATCGCCGCTTAGACAAAAACGAGGATTCTTCTCGGAAGGATCGGTCTCCAGACGCGACGGCGTTCGTTATCGTCGCCCGCGACTCTATTATTATATTATACTAACACGCACGCGGCGGCGAAGGGCGGAAACTCGATCTACCGACAAAATTGGATCCACGCCGGCTATCGCCTTTCTTCCCGAGAACTCCGGCGCGGTGAGCCGATGCTGGTAGCGTCGGGCATACGTCTCGCACGTGACTAGTCATGTTGATAAAGACTATTCTATTCGGCGCAACAGCAGACACCGCCATCTCCCAGGAGTCGCTGCTTTCCGTCGGGACTCGTCCTTACGATTTCCACCGTTCCCCGAGACGAGTTCGCCTTGAAGTAAAAAAGGAACACGCTTACCATGTATTCAATATATTGCAAGCAACGGCGGTGATTTGGAGCTATACGCTATACGCGACGTGATGTATTTCATATCTTTTCTTCTCTATATCTTATTAATTGAAATAGTGATTTTCTCAGCTATTAATATTAGATATCGTCGTAAATATCTCAGTATATGCGAAGACTGATTTCCTACGTGTTGCTCTTCATGAAGCTAATCATTGATGTGTACTCACGTTTTCATGCGGCAGTTCTCTTCCATATCAACCACTCGGTTTCACTCGATTGTGCGTTAGATGGCGACGAGGAGGCTTTTTCTCGAAAGAACGATCGGTGACACTCTTGTGTGTGTCGAGTGCGCGTAAAGAATAAAAGGGATCTAGTTGATTCTCGAGTTTCGCGAGATTCAATTCCGCGCGATGACATTTTGCTATCTTCTTTCTCTTCCACTCTCTCTCTCTCTCTCTTTCTCTCTCTCTCTCTCTCTCTCTCTCTCTCTCTCTCTCTCTCTCTCTCTCTCTCTCTCTCTCTCTCTCTCGACTCTGTTTGTCTTCTTTTTTATTCAATCGCAAAATACACTCTTCTCTCGTTGATATTTCTCTTATATCCACGCTTTTTTTATCTTGCACGTTTTATCTTCATGCATATAATACGCTTCTTGTCGCGTGACGCCTTGGGGCCATCGGCTTTCTCTCCCGTTATGCGCGACAACTTCGCTTAATTGCATGGAGAAAAGAAACAGAAAATCACGAGAGAATCATCGAAGAACCGAAATGTGTGCGAGTTGACGTCCGAGTTGGGAATTGCGAGATTCGAAAATTGAAAAATCTGAACAGACTTTCAGAAAGAGAGGAAGGTAACAAAAACTGGGGATACAATTTGGAAGAATATAGTTTTAAAATATATATCAATAGATAACGGAGAGAGAGAGAGAGAGAGAGAGAGAGAGAAAGAGAGAGAGAGAGAGAGGGGGGGGAATATTTAATTTGATTATTTTTGATATTAATCGGACATTGACAGTAAAATCTGGCCGTCTGGCAGACCTTACGTTCGAATGCGCACGTGCATCACGGACAGGCGATTTTCAATGCACGTGACACCGGTGCACGAGTTTCTGGCGATACACGTGTGTGTGTGTGTGTGGCCGGTACACGGGGGTGCCTCTATTTCTAAAACGATGTGTCAGCTTCTACGAGCAGTAGAGCGAGACAGAGATACGTCCATCCCGCTCTCTTCACGCTCGCTCTGCCGCACTTTTCACGCTTCAACCAGTGTAACGGGCCGAGCTCGGACACTCGAGAGAGCACGCAGGTCGGGAATCCGAAAAAAAACAAAGATGCACGTCTGTATGTTAAATCCGTCGCGCTTGCATCGCGCTCGTCTCCTCCTCGTCGCTGCCTCTCGTCTCGTCGTTGTCTCGAGTTTCATCACCCGCCAAGGCTGACGAGCGCGATCGCGAGGAAATTTCCCGCGGCAAACAGGTCACCGGGTTTATCGGCGACCCCCTGCGTATACACAGACACGGCGATCTTTCAACTTTGGCACTGGCGCCGTTCTCCGATAACGAGGTGACGAGTCATCCTGCGTGCAGGCTGTTGCAGAAGCACTGGTTGCGCGCCGTTTATAATAGTTCATTATTATATATCAAGTGATTGTCTATGCGCGACCGAGTCACCGCGGATGCACCTTTGCATCGTTTGCGCGACATCCGACATAGCTGCTCTGGCCTGTTATCGATTACGAAGACGCTCGCGCGACACGCGATATCGGAGCTTCCACGAAGAACGCTCGCGTTTGTCGATGATGATAATAATTCGATCGCGTTTCTTTCTCCCCGACGACGCGACGTCGCTTGCAAATTTCTCTCGTACAGCCTCACGTCTGCGGGTTGAGTCTGCGTTTTGTAGTGTCATCCTGTCAGTTTTTCAAGGAAAAAGAAAATTACCGTTGAAAGGAGATACATCTGACTACTCAAATCTCCCGCTCGAAACGAACGGAAATTCACCATTCCGATCGTAGATTCTCAATCGACGAGTTGAATCGTGAATTGAAAGAGTGAATTCGAAAATTTCCAACGATGTAATTCGCTGCAATATGTTATGTAACTGGATTCTTAGATTTTTCTGATCTAATCGTATATGCATATTATTGAAGCGGAAAAGATATGCCAATGTAGTAAAATGTTATTGTGATATCTTTAGATATCGATTATCATAAAGCGATAAAAATGGAAAAT